AAGTCTCTCCATACAATTAATACATTCATATCGTTAGTAAGATAGTTACGTTCATGTTTCTTCAACTATCTTGAAACATAAATTACTCGCTCTTTCATGTTGTCTTAACACATATCATAATTACGTCATCGAAGCATCATAAAATACTAAAAATCCATCATTTCCTGAAGGTAAAGTAAGAACTAGTGTCGAAACATAAATTACTACTCTTTCATGTTGCATTAACACATATCGTAATTCTACCATCGTAGCATCATAAAATACTAAAAATCCACCATTTCACGAAGGTAAAGTAAGAACTAGTGTCGTAGTCAAATATATCTTTAGCTTTTGAAAACACTCCTCACACTTATTCGACCATTATAACTTTATATTTTTTTCAATCAACTTAGTTAACATTGCTATTATTATCAAGAAGTCTTGCATAAATTGCTAGTAATACCTAACCAAGTCCAAAAGGTTACAAATCTTTATCATTAAAGTTGATCTCGACCAATGGGTTATTGCCTCAACTTTCTTCGGATACATCACAATCCATTTCTTAAACGTAATGCGTCACGAAAATGCCATACTATCCGATCGGAATTTACTTATCGAAAACTTAGCATATAATTTATGATCCCTCAATGTTTGCAACACTCTCATCAAATGATATTTATGCTCATTCTCATTCTTAGAGTACAACAAAATATCATCAATGAATACTATCATAAACTTATTGAGAAAGCACTAAAATACCATATTCATCAAGTCTATAAAAGCTGTTATGACATTAGTAAGGCCAAATGACATCATTAAAAAATTATAATGGGCAATATCGACTCCTAAAAACATTTTTAGTAGTGTCCTTTCTTTTTATCCTTGATTGATGTTACCCAAACCTCAAATTAACCTTGGAGAAATATTTTACACCCGTAACTAGTCAAACTATTCATTAATCCTCGATAATAGATATCTATTCTTCACGGGCACTTTATTTAGTTAATGGTAATTAATACACAACCTCAAACTATTATCATTCTTCTTAACAACGAACAAGAGCACCTCGTAAAGAAACACTTAGGTTGAATAAAAATTTATCTACTAAGTTTTGAAGCCGAATCTCTAACTCCTTCAACTCAATCGGTGCTATCGAACAGAGAGGTATAAAGATAGGTGCGATGCTTGAGAGTAATTCAATTCCAAGCTTTATCTCTAGCTCTAGAGGTATACTAAGTAATTCATTTGGAAACATATCAAGAAACTCCCTCACACTTAGGATTTGATCCAAACTAACTATGTTATCATTCATCCTATTCATATATGCCAAATAACTCACACTATTTTCTCATTATTTTACATGTTTTGATGGCATAAATTAGGTTAAAGAGAGCTACACTCTACTCTTCTTGAAAAAAAAAACTATATTCTCTTAGATTCTCAAAACACATTATCTTGTTATAATAGTATAACGAAGCAAGATAATTTACTAATTAGTCTATTCCTAGAATTACATCAAAATTAATCATATCTAATAATATTAAATTTATAGGTAAATTTATATTCATTACCCACACCTTATAATTCCTAAACATCAATTTAGCTATCTTATATTCTCTCAATAAGTGTTAATACTAAATCTCTTGAAAAAATACGGTGGCACAAAAGAATAGGTTACTCCTAAATTAAACAATACTCTAGCATCATAAAAAAAGGCCTAAAGAATACCTAACACAATAGCATTGGACGTCTAAGTATCCTGCTGGGTGATGGCAAAAACTTGAATTTGACCACCACTAGCACTAGCTTAACTCGACCTTCTAAATCTTCATAACCCTTACTAGCTTTTTCTAAACCTTGTTATGCTTTGCCACCAAACTCTTAACCCATTACCCCATCAAACCTACTATCATACTATATTAAGGATGAACTGGCCATAGGTAAAACCTATAAACCCCTTAAAAGAGTACCCTGGACCATTTTATATCTAAGGTAATCTTGGATCCGATACCTTTGTTGATGATAATAGAACCATGTCATAGTCTCCCAATAATATACACCCGGATGAGCCTTTTTACATATCTAAAAAACAAAACATCCCTTACCAAAACCATGATGTATCGAATAAGATGATCTTTTGTTGATCCTCATATATGACCCATTGTGACAACTTTGTCCAAAAAACCTCCTATAGGAGCTAGAATAGCTTTGCATACTAATATCTTTTCTAGACCCACCATCATAACTTTTATGCCCTTTACATAACAAGGTATCACTCTTGACCTTTTTTTCTACTCTTTCGTTACTTTACTCTTCATTCTCTTCATTTCAAGCATAGTCAATTGCTTTAGAATAACTACGAAACTTTTGAGAAAATAAAATTATGATAAGTGGATCCACTAGTCTATTTGCAAACTTTTTCGCTCTTTTTGTCTCAACATCTCCGGGGTATAACGGTTTAATTTTGCAAATCTCCTCTCATATTTGATTACCTTCATATCGAAGTTTGTATTAGTCTTTCAAACTTTTTAATCCTATCTTACTCGATACTCTTAGGTAGTCGCTTCTCTAGAAAATTTTCCTTGAATTGCTCTCATAATTTCTTGTCCCTTTATACCAATTACTGGCATTTTTCTCAATCATAAACATTATTAGCTCAATCTTTTTTCCTCGAGACATCAAAGAACAATAAGTCTTTTCTCTATCTCATCCATAAAGTGCATAGAATATTCATCATCCTTATCACCAAAATAAGTTAGCGACTTTAACTTCAAGAATTTAGCAACATATAGGTTAAACCTTGCTAATCTCAATTAGATAGTAGTTGTAGAAGTTTTTATCTCACCCGAATCTTAACTAGCAAACACCAACCCTCTCATAGCCTAAAAAGTTTATTGGATACCCCTAACCATCGTCTATATTGTACACTACATAACACGAAAACTAGTCATAATGCCGGCTAATGACATTACACTAAGGTCTACTTTTTTCCTAACTCTAGATTTACCTCGAGATTGTAGAGGCTCGGATGATGCCTCAACCTCGACACCTCCTTCATGCTCACCCGACCTTGTCCTCACCATGACAACCTATATGAAATAAAAATTTAAATTCGATACATTTCAAGAGATATGAATTTAACAAAACAAAATAATTTGAAACAAGAGCATAGATTAGAATAAAGCCTATATCCTGCAGTTACTCAAAACTTTGAAACCTATACTCTCATACCAACTTTGTCATAACCCCTAAAGTGGGCCCTAACCAGTGCAAGAATCAAGGGAGTTGTGAAACTCATATCTACTCAAGCAAGCCTCAAATATCTAAACTATAGTTATCATACATGTAGTAATCAAAATATTCATCTAATTCACAATATCATAACTTAATTAGTCAATACTTCCTAAATTTTGCACAAACCATAGTTTCGTAATATTTATACATTTATAGCATAATATCCATAATCAACATTTTAACACGACTACCAACTAATTCACCATATCACAATCTAATTAGTCATTATTTCTTAATTTTATTTCAAACTATAATTTTATAATACTTATACATATCCAAAATAATAATCATAATCAATAACATAATACAACTTTCATAAATATAATTGCGAGCTCTAGAGTCTACAATACAACAATCTCAAAATATAAGTTTAAAAATCATAATTAAGTGAGTCGCGAAATAATGTATCAACTTCAAAGAAACAACTCTTAAAAGCCAATAGACAATCTCACAACACTCGAAAAGCTGAAATAACGAGAATATGAGTAAAATAACAACTTAATGAGTAGGTTATATATATCATAAGTAAGGGAGAAAAATGAACCAATGGATAATAATTCTAAACATGCTTAAAATGCAATGCATGTTTTTCAAAGTTAAATATATACTTACGTTAAGTGTTAAATCGTATCTCATATACTCAAATTATTTAAAACCATAATTGAAATCTCATACCAAAATAATTAAAATCAAATCATATAAAGTATCAAATCTATACATGGGGTGATCAAAATATATACATATAATTAGATGCGAACATACAAAAACAATTCTTTTTGTAGCTAGATACCCCAAAGTTGTTAAACAAATCGAAAATCGAATAAATTTATATTTGAAAATATTCAAAATCAATATATCCAAATATAATTCATACTCATAATCAAATTTGATAATGCAATTCTATATCAAATCTCATAATTATAATCTAAGCTCAAACCCAAACTCATGCTCAAAATTATAACAAAATTAATTTAACCGCAAGGTACATTAGAGAATAAAAACAAACTAAATATAAAATTAGTTTATGTGATAAAAAATAAAAATATAATCTATAAATGATGAAATGTATTAGATAAAAATTCGATATAACCACCTTTTATGACTTTGGCGGATACTTAGGAGTTGAGACCTAAAAGGTTAAAACAACTCAAAAACAATTATTAGCCTAAACTGTTATGTAATTTGTATTTAATGTGTCGAGCAATTCATCAGAGAATATACGAGAATGGATTGTTGCATAACTTGCATTGGATGGATGTTCAAATGAGTCAATTATAAATAGCTCTTCTAGTTTTGAAAAGTAAATTTATTTTAAATTTTAATTTTTTAACTAGTATAAATCAAGTTTAATTTAACATTATTTAATTTTAAAAAATATTTTATCTTCTTTTCAATTTTTATATTTTTATAATTTTTTAAATAAAAAAATTAAAAAAGAACATAAAATAAATAAATAAAATAATTAGTTTTTGAAATAGAAGGATCTAATTAATTTGTTTTTCAAAAATAGGGACTAATTTATAGTTTACTCTAAAAAAGAAATAAAAAAGAAAGAAAGAATGCACGGTCGTAGGGAAACAACAATAGCCACGTAGACAAGCAACGGCCGTCCATCCATTGATGATTGAGGCAGCACAGCCTTTCATATTCACATTAGCAACTCCGACCGACCGAATTCTCTGTAATAATATTCTAATTCTCATAATAATTGTATTCTATGTAATGTAATGGAGCCGGAAGATATGGGAAAAGGTAAAGTGATTGCCGCCGCAGCCGCCGTTGAATCCGAAACAGATTTCGCAGATCATCACTTCATCGACCATGCTGATTCCGAAGAGGAATTTTCCGATTCCTTTCTTTGTTGCGTTTGTCTGTAATTTTTTTCCCCCTGGTTGGATCTGAGTTTTGTATAATTTGTGCTTCCTGTCTGATACCGACCTCAATCACTAATAATAAATCTACTTTATTTATTTATTTATTTTTCTGAATTTGTATTCTTCAAAGCTACAATATCATCGTCATGACTTTTTTTAAAGAAAATTAACGTTATTTTATGTTAAATATACTGAATATATAGCAAGAAATGTTCAGCTATTTTTAAGTGTTACTAGTTAGGTTAACTTGTATTTCCGGTTTCTGTTATTTTACTTGTTTGTTTTTAAAGTGATTGAGATTTGAGAACTAAAACTAATTTGCTAACAATTTGGTTTCAGGGATCTTCTATACAAACCTATTGTGCTCTGTAAGCCTTTACTTTTCTTGAGCAAATATGTTTATTTTGATAATCAAAATATGCATTGCTCACTTTTTCTATTTTGTTTTTATTTTTTATCGCAGCTTGCGGCCACATTTCCTGTTTCTGGTGTGTTCATAAATCTATGAGTGGTCTGCGTGAGTCCAATTGCGCAATTTGCAGGCATCCATATAATTACTTTCCAACCGTCTGTCAGATGCTGCACTTCTTGCTCTTCAAGATGTACCCTATTGCCTATAAGAGGAGGGAGGACCAAATTCTAGGTCAGCTTCTCGCTGTTTTGGACTGCTTTTCTGCACAGACATGCATTCACTGCGCACTTTCTAAATTGCTTGGGATAATAATAAATTTCCTACCATAATGGGATATATAAATGCAACCACAATCTTACCCTTATGAGGACAAGGTCTGGTATTTGTTACATTTTTGCCTTGTGATTCTACATTTTACAAACAAATCACGGGAGGAATCTGGATTAGAGCAATTCCATGGTAAAACTAAATATAGTGTATAAGAAGGACACATGTTGAAGATATCATCTTTGTCAATTGGCTGAATAGTTAGGTTAATATTGAAAAGCAATTTATGAAATTACCTAGACTTTGTTTTATCTTAAGCATATGATTCATTTGTGCAGGTATTAAAAAACTTCCTCTTAATTGGCTACTTTTATCTTAATAATTCTCCAAAAGGGTGCATTGATAAGCAGAACCATATGCTGGTTGTTTTTGCTGCAAGTCACCTTTCTTTGACACATGTTTTGAGAAATGAAATCCCAGATGCACTTTTTTGACTAATACGAGAAATAGTTTGGCAGAATCATTACACACTTTTCCAGTGAAAAATTCTCCAGAAGAATCTTGGTTAAACCAATGTATTGATTTGCTTGTAAACTTGCTCAAAACATTTTAATCCGACTATAGGTAAATATATGCTGTGATATGGGAACCATGGTTCACTCTCTCTTCCAACACTGTGCACAGAATGGCAAAACTTGTTTTCTGTTCACAAAATTCATAAAATTATTTAACTTTTTAGCTATATAACATTTAAAATTTCCTTTTCTTTTCTTTTCTTTCTTGTTTAATATTTACAATATAGGTGCTTCCAATCACCACCAACATTTTGTATTACTTCACAGATAGAGCATTTAATTTCAGAAGTTTCCTAGATTTGTTTTGAATCTAGTCTGCTTGTCTTATTCTAACCTGCAAAGCACTCTCAGGTGTGTAGTGGTAGTTAGGTTTTTTACTAACATAACAGTATTGAAATGTCCATTTTAATTTTAGTGTTAGTAAATTCTATGGTCTTTTGCAATGCTTCCGGTTCATGTTTCAGAGGAAGAAAAGAAAATGGGGTGCTTCTCACAACAATTTGGTTATAAAGCATGCAACACTGATCAACAACATCATCATCCAAGGGATCGAGCACATGCACAAGACAGTTGCTCCTTCGGGAATGGGGAATGCTGTGCAAATATGCAGCAAATAGAGTCTGCTAAGTCTGTTTCCATGATTCAAGCTACCACCATGTCTATTCCAAACCAAGTTTGTGATGAAAATTGCAGCATGATCAAACCTGATAGTGTTGAAGACAATTCCTCTGATGATAAGTCAAACGGAAATTGCAAGCAGGTTTCAATTGTTGATGTACAATGCACCACATGCAAGCAACTGCTTTTTCATCCAGTGGTTCTTAATTGTGGCCATGGTATCTTTTGCGCTTTAACTTTAGAAGGCCTACTGATATGCTATATCCACCTGGAAAGTTTTCATAATTGATCTTTTTTTTTTTTTTTTCTTAAATTGTTTCAGTGTATTGTGAAACTTGCTTGAGTCCAGTGGATGAGATGCTTAAATGCCAAGTTTGTCAGAGTTTTCATCCAAGGGGTCTCCCAAAAGTGTGTTTGGAGTTCGATCATTTTCTGGAGGAACAGTTCCCTGCAGAATATGCCCTGAGAAGAGAGGCTGTTCAAGCCAAACAACCACATGTCAAGTTTGAGCACCCGATCACTTGTATGTCTCACTGCTTGATCCCTTCCTTCCCCAACTAGCTACTCAATTTACAACTTTGATAATATCCCCTGCTCATTTGTTCATATTTACAACTCTCATAATATCCCTTTTATTATTGTTCAACTACTTGGGCTGTTGAAATTCATGTAGGGAAGCTTTGGACATATTTTATTCGAACCTAATCAAATTAAGGAAAATCACAGATTAAGCCATCAACTCATGAAAACTCCATGAATGGGGAGCGAGGCAGGAAAGTGTGTGTGTGTGTGTGTGTATATATATATATACACACACACACACACACACACATATATATACACACACACACACACACACACACACACACACACACACATATATATATATATATATATATATATATATATATATATAGAGATAGAGAGAGAGAGAGAGAGAGAGAGAGAGAGAGAGAGAGAGAGAGAGAGAGAGAGAGAGAGAGAGAGAGAGAGAGAGAGAGAGAGAGAGAGAGAGAGAGAGAGAGAGAGAGAGAGAGAGAGAGAGAGAGAGAGAGAGAGAGAGAGAGAGAGAGAGAGAGAGAGAGAGAGAGAGAGAGAGAGAGAGAGAGAGAGAGAGAGAGAGAGAGAGAGAGAGAGAGAGAGAGAGAGAGAGAGAGAGAGAGAGAGAGAGAGAGAGAGAGAGGGTCATAAAATTAGTGAAAAAACACTAAAAAATCACCAATATAATGACAAAGGCATCATTCACAATATGATAAAATTATTATAAAAAAATTGACCCTCAACATTTTTGTGACTTTTTGTTATTTTTTAAGGAAAACATGTGATATTTAACAGCTAAATTAGATGGAATATAGCAGAAGAGGTGTCAATCAAAACATCATATGGTTCAAGGGTTAAATCAGAAAAAGAAAAATAATTCAAAGGGTTTCAATCAAAATCGCCTATAGTTCAGCAGTGTTTGTACAGTTTGGCTGACATATGAAAGTTAAATATGTAATTATTCTATAGTGAGGTTTTACCAGACATTGCATGTATTTATAAATGCCATTTTAAGTTTGAGATATCATTAGTTGCCATAAAAATGTCTTCTTCCAGGTTCTACTGAAGCTAGTGAAAGCGGTTTTCTATCTTCCTCAGAGACCACAGGAGAGAATTTACCATGGTGGGCTGACCCTTGCTCAAAGGTTCATGTTGGAGTTGGCTGTGATTCTTGTGGGGTAATTTGTAGTCCTTCATTTCCTGCCCTTTGCATTAATTTCTCCTCATTAGCATGACAAATCATTATCAAGAATCTCAAAACTTGATTATTTCATGTCTCTGTGGCTGAATAGTGTCTTTGCAATCAGTCGAATAATGGATTATTGATACAGGACAGCTTAGGGGCTGTTCTGGATCTGTTTTTGGAGGCCGTTTAGGGGTGTTTAGGGTTGTATTGAAGTAGGTTTTTGCTGGAATATAAGGAAATATGTGGGTAGAATTTTAGAAGTCACACCTAGAGGATAGAAAAACCTAAGCTTCACACCTAGGATTCTTAGGAGTCACACCTAAGGGAGATTGAGTCACACAATCAAAAGCAAATTTCTGGGAATTATTTGATATTATTGTATACCGAATATTGAAAGACTACATACTGTATTTATGGAGTCGTAGAAGTCCAAATCCGATTAGGATAAGGATACTTGAGCCTCCAACATAACTATTCCTAATTACACTAGGAAAACCTATAACTATTCCTATTTTAGAATAGGAAAATAACTTCAGGACTAATAAAATACTTAAAAAAAAGTACTATAATTTCAGATTTTCCAGTAGAGCTGAAATTACTAAAATACCCTTATCAATTATTCAAGTTTCCTTCCTTTGTTGTCTGCATCATTCTCCCTTGGTTGGAGAAAACTTGACCTCGAGTTTTGAAGTGTTGAAGTAGCAAAAAACCACACGTTCCAGACCTCATCCCTTAGCTTGAAGCCACTCCTTTGAACTTGATACCAATTACCCGTTGCCATAAGTGAAAACAGTGAAGAAAGCATGATGTCTCTCTCTATAATTGAATCACCAAACTTGGGTGGAAGAAGGAAGTCAATATGATTGATTTGTACAATTTGCTCACCTCCGTCTTGAGTATCCTTGATGTTGTGCTCTTCCTTTATCTTGCTGAAAATCAGGATATCATTAAAGAAAACAACGAGAAAATGACCAATAAAGGGCTGGAGTATCTGGTTCATAAACCTCATAAAGGTGCTAGGAGCATTGGAAAGCCCAAATGGCATGACTAGCCATTCGTAAAGGCCATCCTTGGTTTTAAGGCTATCTTTCATTCATCATCAGGTCTGATTTGTAACTAATGATACCCAGTTTTCAAGTCAATCTTTGAAAAGATGGTATCCAAAATGTCATCTAGACATATTGGAAAGTGATATTTAACAGTAATCTTGTTTATAGCTCGACTATCAACATCCGTGTGCCAAGTACCATTTTTCTTAGGTGTTAGTAATGTTGGAACAGCACAAGGACTTACTTTCACGTATAAATCCTTTGGATAGCTGCTCATCAACTTGCCTCTTGAGTTCAGCATGCTCACCAGGATTTATCTGATATGCTGGAAGGTTAGGTAGTTGCTAGCCTAGAACAAGATCAATTGCATGTTGAATACTACATAGGGGAGGCAATTCCTTAGGCATATCTTTTGGTATCACATCAGAGAAGTCCGATGATAATCTAGTCATCTCTGGAGTAAAATTAGAAATAGGGGCAACAACTGATTTTTCTCTCTCTTGCGATAACAACAAAGATCACTTCAGACTTGGAGCTTGTTGCTTGGTATTGTTTCTTAGCCAATACTTCGAAAATACTTCCTTGCAGTGCCACCAATATTTCTCGAATTCCGAGACTTTTTTTCATACTTTTTGATATCAAGCAAACTCATTGGCCTTGGGACAATAACCTTTTTTCAAAGGAAAAAGGAATATGCATGTTTTACATATCGATCGTATTAAAGGATCATCTCAGCTAAAAGCTTAAGCTGTTAGGTAAGGTCCAATAATATAATTTATATTACTCTCTAACACACCCCTTCAAGTGAAAGCCTCAACATGTGGACTTGAAACTTTCATAGATCCACATTGTCTTATGCTTAATACTTGAGAAATTAGAGGTGGTGAGACTTGAACTCAGAATCTCTTTATCAACTAAGCTCGATACCATGTTAAAGATCCATCTCACCAAAAAACTTAAGCTGTTAGGTAAGACCTAATAATATAATTTATATTACTCTCTAACAGATCGTAAAGCCAAGGTTGACCAAGAAGAATGTGAGCAACTTGCATAGGAATCACATCACATAATATAGAATTGTTATAGGGTCCACAAGAAAAAGAAACTAGACATTGTTGTGCTACGGGGATGGTTGTGTTGTTAATCCAAGCTACTTTGTATGGTTGTGGATGAGGATTGGTAGGAAGCTTAAGGCGCTCAACCATGGATGCTGCAACCACATTCATACAACTTCGACCATTAATTATAAGCTTTTTGGCCTGATTTCCACAACTAGCCAAGGTCAGAAATATCGTAGTGTGTTTCCAGTCTTCATCTTTTTCTACCCTAGGGGCTGCAAGAATGCACCTAACAATAGATAAAAGAGAAGTATCCACGTCATTATCATTAGCAAGATCATCAGCTTCAGAAGTTCCAAATTCAAGTACATTGTCAGATTCTTATTTGTCTCCTTCTTTCCTTGCTCAATCTCAATATGCAAAACTATTCTTCTTAGGACATTGATAACCCATTTGTGTATGCTTCCCACTTTTAAATCAGACAAGCCCTCTGTTATCTCTTCCTCCCGCGTAGGCTACATTAGAAGAAGATGGTTTTGAGGCATAGAAACGATTAGAAGGTCATGGAAGGTTATCCTTACTTCTTTATTCATGTCATTGTACCTTCGTGTTGATGTCTTCCCGGCTTGAAACCTAACTGTCCTTGTGATTAGGTGCTTTAGGTACTCCTATGCATCAGTTGCCATTTGGCATGCATGCTGTAAAGGTCCTTCCCAAGCAATTCCCTCTTGATATCAGCCCTCAAACCAGCCTTGAATTGGGAAAAGGGCTTTTTCAAGGTCTTCCACAATTTGACCTCTAATATTAGCTTTTTAAATTTTTCCACATATTCGTTAACATTTAGGATGCCTTGTCATAAAAAATGAGCTGCCTCACTAATCTTTTGAACATAATTGGTTGGCATGTGCTTTTCCATAAGCTTGGCTTTCATCTCAAATCAATTAGCGATAGGTGCATGTCCAAGTCGACCTATGTCCTATTCAACACAATACAACCAAATCCTGGCTAAACCAATAAGCTTCATCTTTCCAAATCTTACTTTTCTTTCATCCAACATATCATATCAATTGAAGAATGTTTTCATGGACCTAATCCAATCATTGAATAGTGTAAGATCTACCTTCCCTTCAAATCAGGAATATCAACTCTTACTTTTTTTGTAATATCACCAGCAGTGTTTTGTGGGTCAATTTGCTTCCTTCTTTGAATGGGCAACGCTGCTGGTTGGTTACTCTGGGCAGCCACAACGCCTTGAGTATGTGGAAAAGAATTATCAGCTGTTGTGACAACAAGTTGCTTGCCTAGAACAATTTTTGAAAGCCTTTCAATTGATGCCTCTGTTGTTGCAAATCTGGAATCAAATGTCTCTATTGCTGCAAGTTTGGAATCAAATTTTCCTTCAATAGTATCCAACCTTTCGTCAGTAGATCTCTTACTTGATTCAACTTCTAGTTGAAAGGTTTCAAATTTTGTATTGACTTCATTGACAGTCACCATGATTGAAGAACGCAGCAAGAAAAACTTCTAGGATCTTGAAGCTTTGATAGAATCTTGAACCTCTGATACCAACTGATCGTGGACAGCCTAGGGGTTGTTATGGATCTGATTTTTTAAGGCTGTTTAGGGTTGTATTGAAGCAGGTTTTTCCTAGAATATGAGGAAAAATGTGGGTAGAATTTTAGGAGTCACACCTAGAGGATAGAAAAAACCTAAGATACATAGTTAGGGTTCTTAGGAGTCACCCCTAAGGGAGATTAAGACACAATCAAAGCAAATTGTGGGAAATTATTTGATATTATTGCGTACTAAATATATGAAGACTATGTACTGTATTTATAGAGTTGTAGATGTCCAAATTCAATTAGGACGAAGATTCATGAACCTTCAACATAACTATTCCTAATTACACTAGAAAAACCGATAACCGTTCCTATTTTAGAATAGGAAAACTTAATAACTTCAGGACTAATAAAATACTTAAACAAAAATACTAAAATTTTAGATTTTCCAGCAGATCTGAAATTACTAAAATACCCTTATCAATTATTCAAGTTTTGCTTCCGTTGTCTGCATCAATTATCCATGTCGACATTTGGTTAGACATTACTGTGATGCCTGCCTTCCATTTCCTTCGGTCTAAATTTTGCAGAAAGTGGTTGCAAATTCTGAACCAGTACATGATCATGATGTAATTTGTGTGTATGTGGGAGGGAAGACATTAGTGTCAGGATTGCAGTCAGTTGACAATGCAATTGATAGAAGTCTCTGCAGTGTTTTTATTCATACATGCACACACTGATTCATATCACTTGCTATGAAATATAGGCTAAACCTCTTTGCTTTGAGAAGTTAATATTAGTATAACGCATTAATAGTCGCAGATGCTCCCCCACCCCTCCCTTCTTTGTGGGGTTGTCTCTCGTTGTTTCTAGTCCAAACCTTTTAAGTGCCTGTTGGTACATGTGTTGTGTAATTCTATTATTAGTTTAAATTTTAGTTACAATTTGAGATTTTTTTGAGGATGTGATGCTTCAACTATGTGTTACACTGGAACAGATTGATCTGAACTTTCAAATTCAATAGCACTTCAATCTATATGCTGCTGTTCTACTGGCTAAATATCATTTGCATCTCCATAACAATGTAGTATGTGTCCAGGTATATCCAATAGTTGGAGATAGATACAGGTGCAAAGATTGTGTTGAGCAAATAGGTTTTGATCTTTGTGGAGACTGCTATAATACTTGCTCCAAGCGACCTGGTCGGTTCAACCAGCAGCATACCCCTGACCACAAGTTTGAGCTTGTAAAGTCGACTATTATTCGTAGCATAATGTTGAGGTTGGTCACTGGACAGTTGGATGATGCCTCTGCTTTCGCCAACCATGATGATGCTTCTGGAATTTCTGAAAATGAAACTCCCTGATGCATTTATTTGCTTTCCTTGATAGACACCCCGTATATCAGTACTCCTGTATAATAAATATATATAAGCAATCCTGTCTAATTGTTTTTGTGAAAGAAAATGAGAATCATGTGCCAGAGTGATCAGCGCAGCGGTTCTAAAACCCAGTCCCTAGGGTTTGAACTACATAGCTGGGCTGAGGCAATGCATTTATGCAACGTACCTTTTCATTATTTACAATTGTTTTTTCGTGAAAGGTGATCTATGGTGTAGAATTACAGTTCCAAGAAATAGTCGTCTCACCAACTAATAGACTGATTTGTGACTGGCAGCTAAGCTAACAACAAATTAATCATGTGCTAATCTACTTGATCAAATTAGAACCTTTGATTATTCAACTAATGATTACAATCAATGGCTGTAACATTGCTTTTCCCTTGAAGGGATCCTTGTCCTCAGGGAGGTGTGTTGAAGTCTGGAAATTGTAGTTCCAGCTCCTGCAAATCTTTCCATGAGGCATCTTCTTTAGGCAGAATGGACAATTAGGCAAGGCTAATAACCATAACAGTGTTCTTCTCTTGCTTCTGGCTGTGTTTTGAATGATCACGTCATCAGATGTAGGCAAAGTAGCAGTGATCACGGCGTTATCACATGCCGTCTTTTTAAGCAATAAGACATGGAACACTAGATGCAGTGAGAGCCCTAAACAACAAAAGGGGTGAATTGGATGATAAACTAAAACTAACTAATAACCATAACAGTGTTCTTCTCTTGCTTCTGGCTGTGTTTTGAACTGATCAACGTCATCAAATGTAGGCAAAGTAGCAGTGATCACAGCGTTATTACATGCCGTCTTTTTAAGCAATAAGACATGGAACAGTAGATGCAGTGAGAGCCCTAAACAACTAAGAGGGGTGAATTGGATTATAACCTAAAACTAACTCTCTTTCAATCAATCAATCAACTTAAAATAAATTCACAAACTACAGCATTCACCTGTCCAATATCTCAATGCATGACAAGTAAAACAAGAAAGGATGGTTCGACTCTAATTATTTGTTTTACTTCTCATGCAGTAAGCTTGAGTATTCTACTATTATTCAGGCCCTTCTTCAAGGGCGAAGCCTCACATTATTACAATAATTATCTTTCTTTCGAGTTTAAGATCAAGCCCTAATCCCATCCTTTTCACAGACATAAAATTACAACTCTTACACGATTTTTTTCATGAGTTTAAGATCATTTACTCTCAAGCATCTCGAAGTTCACTTTCTAAATATTCAAGTAATTGAAGTGTGATTTACACTTTAACAAAAGATTAACTAATGAAAGAAATAGATCAAACTTATTTAACTCTCACAAAGATAGGTATACAAGTGTGAATAAAATTAGCAAGTGATTAAGGAGAGAGTATTCAAAGGTCTTTTTGATAAACAAATAGCTTGACAGTCTTTAGAAAAGAGGCACAAGAATACTAAAGGCATAAGTTCATGAAACATTTAATCAAAGACAACTGCTGGTTTTACACAATAGGACATCCGGCTTGTTAGATGACCAAACCACTCTTTGACAAACCTTGTCTTAACATCTAAATGCTATGAAATCTTGTTAAAACATTTAATCCAAATAATGAGTAGTGGCCCTTTAGGACAACATGCACTTGAGAGACTTTTGTTAATTCCAGCTTTATAAGCAATCTTACCAACCCTTTGCAATACCAAACTTGTTATCTATAGTATGGATAATTTAGCTACATATTCTTCCTAAAAGCCACGGTTTCTTGTCTATAGGGTTGCAATTTCAAATGAACTTAGTGTAACGCTCCCGACCCGAAAGGGAGGCTAGAGTGCTAGGACAATGCCTCACACTCGTGGGATGCAAGCGAGTGTAGTGTGTCCTCAATCTCGGATCTAACATACAATGCACAGCGGAATCCTCATTCGGTCTAAAGTTTAAGACATCCTTAGTTTAGCATATTAAAGCCAATAAGTTTAACGTAATTCAAAATCATTTCATAAACTTCAAACCCTAATGTATATATATTAAAATATCAACATTGCCATATGTAACATAAGTTTTTCATAAACCTTCAAATCAAAATATAAATGTAAGTTAACATATCAAAATAGCTTAAAGGTTCATAAATTTACAACCCAAAAGTGGCCAAGTTAGGAAACACAAAAATGATCAAACCTAGGCATGGTTTAGCCCTTAAACTTTAAACCTAGATCTATAGTACATATTTTGGCAAACCAACACCTCATAATAGCATCTTCAATGCCACAACATGTCATCATGCTTCACTTTGTTCATCTACACCATAAGACAAACAATGAGCTAAATCTTAATAAGTGTAGCCATGCATGAATGCAAGAAAAACCATTTTTTTCATGATGCCGAAATTCATTTTTCTTTTTCAAATGCACCTTACTCGAATGTATATATATTCAACCCTCATTTAAAATCATCCTTTAAGAAAACCATAAAAGCACCGGACATATTCCATTGAAACTTCATAAAGAGTTGATCATTTTCTTTGTCCTTCTTGAACATATGTAGCCATGGGCTTTATGTGTTCTTTTAAAAGCATGAACATGCCATTTCTTTCCGTGCCCGAAATCATGATCAAAAATATTTTCATGGTGTGAGTGCAATTAGAACACGAACACTAAGTAAACATATGAACATAAACAAATTAGCATCAAGAAACTTCATAAACATAAACCAAAAGACATCAAGCTCGAATCCATCACATGACCATAAATCATGCGACATGAAGTTAACACATGAATCAAAACTATCAAGTGACATCATATGTTTCCAATCTTCAAATAAACACCCAAACACATAACCAAGAAACACCAAGTATCATATAATCGAATCCATCAAGCTTCCTAACAATCATTCAATCAACAATCAAAATTGAGTAACAATAAGCATACACCAAACCCAAATTCATCAAGCCTCCTCACAATCATCCAATCATCAAAAGCAAGTAACAACAATAAACACCTAATCCGAAACCATCAAGCTTCCTCACAATCATTCAATCATCAAGTAAACCTATAATCTCAACAATAAGTAAACTCATATACTTGACAATAAGCATATCCATAAACTCAACAATCTAATAACAATTATACCTATAAACTCAACATCAAGCATTCCTATAAACTCAACATCAAAAGAACACCCATCTTCATAAGTAGTAAATCATCAAACAAAGACACCAACATAATTATACAATCATCAATTAAACACATACCCTATTATACAATTATCAATTAAACATATAACCCAACAACCCTAGAACCTTTAGGTCTTATGGTGAATTAAGATTATACTTATCATAGGGTTTAGCCGTTGTTTAAATCACCCTAAAAGCCCTCAAAAACCTTTTTCTCTTCCTTGTTCTTGCTCTCAGCAAAAACCGAAGGATCATTTGTCTTATGGGGGTGTAGAATAAACAAAAATTTTTGTTCACCTCCATCCGAAGTCCTAAGATCAGCCGTTAAATCAACTAACTATGTATTAATAACTTAAATAAATGTTACCTCTTGTAGTGTAATATCTAATTCATGAATTAAACCGTTAAAGCATTCGATCTCTAGTGATGATCCGAGCATCTAGACCCTTAAATAAGAAGCAATAGAAAGATTTAGAATGCTAGCTCTAATTATATATATATTTCTCTCAAAAAATCTTTTCGAAGATGCCACAATTCCTCTCGACAAAAGAAAATGGCATAATTTTCTTTCGTTAAAGAAATTACGTCTCCCTCTTTTTCTATAAATTTAGCCACACCTCCTTTTCGGTCGTGGAGTTGTATCTCATGTGGTTTTGATGAATCTTATCCTTATAAATCTTGAATTAGGTTTAATAAAGTTTTGCCTTAAGTTCTTAACCCTCCATTTAAAATAACTATTACAGACCTTTCACTTAAGCCTAATGGCCTAAAATCATTTGGCTCGATAACTCAATAATTAATTTGGACTATCCAAATAAGTTGAGTTAGGTATTTTTAGAGAGGTCCATATCGGAAAATAATTTCTTGACTCACTCTTGTAGTTTATTAAACTTAAATTAGGAAACTCGATTTTCATTTTAGAAAACTAATTTTCAAAATAGGGAATTGCTTTCTAATTTAGGTAAATGACTTCCAAATTAGGAAACAAGGAAACTTTTTTCAAATTCTTTGCTTCTCTTTTTCTATGTGAATATTTAAACTTATACGTGTGACTCAATAGGCTTCTAGATATGTTGGTAATGTTTCGATAAGTAAAAGATACTTCTTTTATCTCTTGATATATAAATCAAATTTGACCTTCAACAATACATCATGACTATCGGATAACTTAATCCGCAATAACCTCTCACGAGTATGGTTTTCATATAATTCGAGTCCTCGTGTTAATTTATCATAGTGTTATCTCAAACTTGGTTTGTTTTTATTTGATGATGATCATATAAGTTTTCTTCGATCTTCAAATGTCTTAGCTCTCAAGTAAACCAAAATGTAATATGATAACTCCTTTAGCATATAAGGAATGACATGTCATATCTCAATGATCTACCTATCTCTATTAGATTCCTAATTAACTCAATGAATCATGCACATGTAGCTCTTAAATAAGCACATCAAAATGAATGTCAAAGTAAATTAATCCTCTAATGAGATAACCGTGATGACTTCAAGTCAAAAGACTATTTATACCTATTTCGTATGAGATTCTCATAGACTATACAAAATAGGTTCTCATGGCGAGTAACATTTAGTAATATGTTCTCTAATATTATTCACCTGCATGTATGCTTTAGCATTACTAAGTTGGCGAGTGTAAAATTATCTTATAACAAGAGTATAGCACTCATAAGTCTTATCGCATACCGCTTATGTCCAATCTTGACAATGCTATGAGTTGGTACCTTTAATGATATCATTTATATATATTGATGTTTATCTCACATCTATCGATTAATCATCAATACAATACATATTATATGAACTTTTATATAATTCT